GGACGTTGTTTCACAGGATAGAGTGCTAGGACTTCAGAACCCTTAAACTGAATTCTGAGATGATTAGTAGCAAGAGTGAGAGAGGTCAGGAGCACAGGAGTACCCAGTCCACTGCCATACACGGAATAAGCAGAGGCACCCCCAGGGGGTCAGGGAATAGCGTTGAGCCGTCGAAAAGCAGGGATATTGATCAGCAGTGACTGTTTGGGTGTGTGGGGGTGAGACACTGGGATATTTATTTACTCAGACCAGGTACGTGTTTCAAATCCCAGAGGTATGGATGGACTTACAGCGTGGCCTTCTAGTATGGTTTTCCAGACATCAACTACGCATACCCAAGCAAATATCCAGATATACTCTTTTTTTTTGACACAAACAGTACCACATCATACCCTCTGTTCTGCCTCTTGAGCTTTCCACTCAACAAGACATCCTGCAGATTGTTCCATATCAGGACACAAACGAGACTCCTCATTCTTGTTGATGACTGCATAGTATTCCACTGTAGAGCTCTACCCTCATTCATCCAACCCGTCCTCTCTTGCTGCATGCCCAGCTACCTTCTACTGTTTTACCAAAATGCCACTTGCTGCTGGGAACAGCCTTCTAGAGAGGTGCAGCCTTCTAGAGTGAGAATAGATAAATTTCTAGCAGTGGAATGGCTGAATTGAAGGCTGTGTGCAATTGTAATTTTGATAGACATTGCCAAATCACCCTCTCACCAGCATGTACAAGAATGTGTGTTTCCCCATACTCCCCAGTGTAGTATTACACACTATTTTTATATTTGGTGATCTGAGAGGTAAAAATGATATCTCAGTGCAATTGCAGTTGTGTTTATCTTATTGTGAGTGAATCTGAGTGTATTTCCATCCAGAGCTGTTCACATTTATTTCACTGGACACTCTCCAGGCCTGTCTGTCAGCCACATTACTACTGGGTTGTCAGTTTTTTACTTACGGATTCGTAATCACTATTTTTTTCTTCTTCTTTTTTAATTATATAGAGTTATTTGCAAAATCACTCTGTATATTAAAGAAATGAGCCCCTTCTGTTGAATTGCTTATGTATTTTCCCAATTTGTTCACTTCCTGGCACATCAAATTGGTCTTTGGAATAATAATAGCATTGGGAAGAATTGAGGGGCATGTCCCAACCCCCACAATTTCCCAGAAGGAAAAAAATTGTAAGTAACATGTTATAGCTTTCAACTCTACATAAAATTTGCCAAGTAAATGATGAAGCATCGGTCTCAGTTCATTAACGTATCTATGTGGAACACCTACTGGGTGCCAGGTGCTGTTCTAGGTGCTGAGGATACAGTGGTGACTGAAACAGTCAAGATCACACTCTCATGGAGCTGACGTCCCAGTGAGAGGGGCATGTCATGAATGAGTAAACGGAATAGCAATGCCTGGAGATGGTGATAAGCCTTGTGAGGGAGATGAAATGGGGTGATAAGGGGAGGCCGGGCCAGGGGCTGGTATAGACTGGGTGGTCAAAGAGGGCACCTCTGAGAGGGTGACTTTGTGTTAGGACCCAGGCATAAGTGTCAGAATTAGAACTGCCCAGTAGAGGGAATAGCATGTGTAAAGGGCCTGAGCAGGAACAAGAACAAGCTTGGTGCATTTGAAAAAAACAGAAAAGGGGCCGGGCGCGGTGGCTCAAGCCTGTAATCCCAGCACTTTGGGAGGCCGAGACGGGCGGATCACGAGGTCAGGAGATCGAGACCATCCTGGCTA